ACAATTAAGGACTAGTGGGCAGTAAAATGAAGCAGTAATGGCTTTTACTACTGTGGTCCATTCCCACCAGATCTTAATAAACACCAGCAAAACCTTTCAGAGATGTTTCCCTCTTGCAGGACTTGTGAGTGATACTGCTGCCAGCCTCAAGGCCAGCACAGCTGAGCATCACATCAGGAGGTGTGCCCTGGAGTGGGAACTTCGCTCTGCCTGCAGAGGGGTGGTCTAGAGCTGGCAGAGGCCAACATACAGAAAATCAGGCTAAGAGAAAAGACCCCGCTGCAGAGTGATTTAGAACAGAGTAGCCATTCATTCCCCCACACACAGACATGTGTAGAGTGAGCTCCCAAATTTTCTGTTGGCATCTCCACCACTTAGAAAACATGATGGTTAAATGAATTAAATGAAAAGTAGGATAACAAGGGAAATGCAAATCCAATGGTTCAGTATAGCTCACTTTGTTGACATTTGGTGTTGGCAAAACAAATGTAATACATATGATTTTCAAAAGCCTTAGTCATTCCCTACAACTGTTACATTCCTTACTGAAGGCAAACTTAATTTTCATACCTGACTACTGAAATGTCTTGGTTTTAGTTTTTCCCAAAATAGAAGAACTGAAACCAAGCAAGTCATGGAGAGATGATAAACAGCTCTTCTCAGCATTGTGGGACACTGTCCAAAGGTTGTGGTGCTGAAGAATGAAACTAAAAAAAAGTAACTGATGAGGCTGAAACTGAACCCCCTTTTAAAGAATGCTTTCATGTGGCTACAGTCACTACTTCTAATATCCTTATTTGTGTATTTTTGCAAGGAATGGAATGTTTTTCAATGCATGATGCCACACTGGCATCATCCTGCCCTTAACGATGATTAGATGGTGAGTTGGCACTACCTAATATTCATCTTTCGATGTGACCCTTGCAGTTATTCAGGAGAACATTCAATAGTCTCTTGGCTTGTCTTCCTGAATAGACATACTTATCTACAAAAAACAGAGAGTTTGTTTTATTTTTTTTTGGGGGGGGGGGTTTGTTGGTTGTTTTTTGTTTGTTTTTTTTTTTTTTAATAAGGGTATTGGTTTTTAACTGCCAGCAATATCCTAAGAAGAGCAAGAAAAAATATTTTTTGAAAGCTACACTGAGGGTTTCAATTTTTTTATTTCAAATTTCAATAGAATATTACATAAGATTGATTGTGTCTTTTGATTACTGCTTTCCTGGGCATCAGCATTCTAGGAGTATGTCTATCAAATGCAAGTTCTGCCTAGAAAGAATAATCCAGAAACAATTTTAGAAGGAAGTAGGGGAGTCTTGTTTGGGATCAGTCTGACTGCCTGGCCCAGCTAACTGCAGACATCTGTCTAGCAGACCTTCAAGTCTGTTTGGGATGACAAAACACCTATCCTCTGTGTCCATGTTTCTTGGGCTTTCCATGACAAAAAAATATCCCAATGAAAGGAAGATTTTCCACTATGGGCTCTTGTGTTTTACATGTTGCTTCCCATAGGATGAGGGAGAGACTGTTCCACTACTCCTGTCAGATATGCTGTTAAGAATCAAAAGAGAAGAATGTTATAAACAAATTTACACAAACAAAAACTCCATCCATGCTGGTCCTTTCCTTCAGGCTTGGAGGTTTTTGGTGGCTTTATTGCTTTACAGCTTTGCAGTTTCTTTATCATCTTAACAAATAGGAGCATAAAAATAATGCAAAAGTACTGATAAAGGGTGAGTGTTAAGAAAGGAAGAAGGGCTAAATGTTAGATTCTATGTATAGAACTATACTTCACATGTAGTCACATAAATGACTTGAATTTTGTAATAAATAAATAAATAAATAAATAAATATTTTCTACAATACTTAAAAGGTTTATACTTCAAGTGTTAATTTATTTGTAACTGAACTAGGAAAAACTTCAGCTTTTTAAATAGGCCAATAAAACATTAGTTAGACTGAAAGTAAAATCTTGATTTATTTATTTATAACACAGGCTCCTTTTTTCCCCTAACAGTCTTTTGATGATGATTTCAGGGGTGATTTCTTACTTACTATTCTTTATTGCTGAGCTCCTCTTGAAACAAGGACTATTTTCTTTCTTTAAAATCTTTGGGAACAGACAGTTATTGTCAAATGCTTCAATACTTAGTGTTGCCTATTCTGAATTTGATTTCCATTCCTGACACAGTCCATAGGAGACTTCTAGTGCAACCCTTATTCTAGCAGCTATTTAATTCCTCCCTCAGCACAGAAGCTGAGTTCTTGACATGTGTGGAAAAAGATAAGGGATAAATGGGATTAATAAGCACTTAAAAGAAAAAATAATTACTATAAAGGTTATAAATCAAAGTTTGTATTTAAAGAATAGAACCCCTTGGGGATTCATGCTGTAAAATTGTATGCTTGTATTAAGTCAGAGATTTTTCAGAGTGTCTTTAAAAGGATATTTAATTGACATCAAACTACTGTTAAAACACACAAGTGGTCATAATAGATCACAATAGGACAGGGAGATTGCAGAGTCAAGAGCACTATGGCATATGTTCTCTGGTATGAACAGCTGGAGAAGGCACAGCCAAGCTGATACCATGGTCAGAGCTGAGGAAGAAAAACATGTTACCTGGGATCCAGAAGAGAAGGGATTATTTTTTGAAGGAGACGTATTTCTAATAGTTGTTCTGAAATATTGAATCAGCAGCAAAATTTGTTGGGAGGGATGACTGGTATGAACATAATTATTAATGAAACAGTTAATATTTCTGCTTTCAAGCTAGGTGAAATTTATGGTAAGAGAGATATTGCATGTTAATAAACTATCAGGAAAGGCTAGAATAGAGTGAGCAAATTATTTGCATATTAGCTATTCAGTCTGAAAGAACTTTGGGGATCTAAGTGATATGTAGATGGTTAAATGTGCTTGTAGTACCTGTGTTTATGTATTCGGGACGTAAACATCTTGAAACTTGAATATAATGTAATGT